TAAGTACATAAGTATCTAATTACCATACAAAGACTGTGGGATTTTAAAAAATGGCGATTGAACAATATATTTTTTCCTGGTAGTCAGTAGGCTATAGCTAATCTACCTTTTTAATATTTCAATATTTCTTTAGAAAACTGCACGGAATATGTCCTAAAAAAGCATGAATAACGCTGGATGCTGACCGAAGCTGTTAGGCAACAAGCAGAACAACACCTCTTTCTGGACACTGCATGGAAATAACTAGATTTTTCTTATTTAATTTTTTTTATTTACCTTCTAAGAAATAAAGCACACAAAATGAAACTTCTACAGGTATGATGGATTTATAAGAAACATAATATCGATGTGCCCATTACCACAAGGTATGCTGGATTTACGAGGTATGATAGAAAGTCAGAACACTGGACCTGAAGGTTCTTGTTGTTAGCTAGCAGGCCAACTGCTGCTGTAGCTCAGCTGCTCCAAGACTCCTCATGCTGCCACAGACAACTTGGATCCATCTAAACCCAGTGAACTGAGGTTAGCAGGAAGGTCTCAACATTTCCCTGCAGGTTGTGGTCCAGCTGCTCACCGTGTGTGGATGTTGTAGATGCTGTAGGACGCCATGAAGGAGTGGCGGTAAACCTGCAGATAGAGCAGAGAAGGACGACATCAGCAGGAAATACTCAGGCGGAGCAGCCGCTTTTTGATTCAGACTGGGGCATCTCATCTGCATGCTGACAGCTGATGGCGAGATGTTTCACTTCACATCATGGCAGAGAGCGTCTGCAGGGTGGAGATGAAGGGAGGACAAATGTCTTTACACCAAACGAGTCCAAACGCCTAAACACAACCCAAGGGAGGAGCGCTAGCTACCAGGAAACCTCTGAAAATGTTGTAGCTGTACCTAATAAAGTGGCCAGGCATTCAAAGCATCAAAGCAGCAGATGGGTTCTGGAACGTTCTCTGCAGAACCACAGGCCCTTCTGACCAGAACAATCAGCTAACTAGAAGATAGCTGTGTAACAGAGTTACAAATGTACTTTTTTAAATTATAATTTATAATTAATTTTAGATTGAGAATTTGTGTATTTTATCTTATTCAGTTATTTTTATTTGTTGTTTTTGCCTGCGGGGGTCGCCCTTCTGCACTCTGCCTCGTTTGTGTCTCCTGGGCTTCCGTAGCTCGGTCCAGCCCTCAGCTTGTTCTGCTGCGTTAAACGTTTGTTTTCTGTACGGATGTTGTTGTTTATGTTGAAGTTTTATTACCATATGATGTTTATTACTGTTTATTAGTGTGTTATTTTGCAGTACATCATTGTACGTTTTATAACCAGTTTTATTATAATTTTCTTTTTTTATTTTGGCGCGAACAACCGGTGCTAATCCAGCACAGTTCGGTTGAACATTGTTTTATTCTCACATTTAGGCTGGAGTGCAGGGAGAGAGTTGAAGAGGAGGTTGATTTGTTTTTACCCTTCTCCTCCAGGTATGTGTTTTTATGTTAAGTTATACTTTTTATCTCTGTTTATTTAACTCTGTTCCACTGTATTGTGTTGCTGTGGCCACCAGGTGGCGTTTTACTCCTCTTGTTTTTAGTTTATGATTTTTGTGAGGAGATTTCTTTTTTGTTGACTTTTGTTGAATCTGAGAAAAAAAA